AAAAAAAAAAAAAAAGAATAAAAATTTAAAAATACATGCTTTTGGAAATATGGCAGAGGATGTGAATGTATACTGTGTACATGTAGGGAAATATCACAGTGAAACTTCCTTATTACAAATATATGTTATCTCAAAAATTATAAAAAAAAGAACCAAATATATTCTTGTCTCCTCACGTTGGTTGCTGATTTTGTTATTCAAACTGTGATTACTGCTACTGTGCACTTAGAACCTGCTTTGGTGAGTGGGCAAGGCTTTAGCATCATTTGCTTTCTAAAAACACCAGAAGCTAAGTTCAGAATAGGTGTACATGATATTACATGTATAAAACCATTTTCATAGAACCTACCTCTTTGCCTTTTGTGGCACCTCCTTCTGTCCATTCCACTGAAACAGAAGCAGCCTCCAAATTCACAGTGCTTATGTTGGCACTGTGAATTAAGCCTATGTAGGAAAAAACAAAACAAAACAGGGTTTTATCTAGCTATCAGTTTCTCTTTGGGTTCCCACAGAGATTCTCCATGTGGAGCTTACCTGGGAGGGACAGTTAATTATTTTTTTTCCTTTCCTTTTTTTTTTTAAACGAAACAAAAACAGAGAGTCTAAGAGACACAATAGATCAGTGGGTCTTCACCCTTTTAGACTATTTTACAATGAGGTGAGTTGGAAAACGTTCTTAAAACCCAGCTACATGAGGTAAGGACTTCTTCCTACTGAAGAGTCTTGCCAGACGTCGGTGGATCATGTCTGTAATCCTAGCTACTGAGGAGACTGAGATTTGAGGATTGCAGTTCAAAGCCAGCTTGAGCAGTAAAGTCCATGAGAGTTTTTTTTTAATTTTTTTTTTATTGTGACAATACCGTACAGAGGAGTTACAATTACATGGACAAGATAACGAGTACGTTTCTTATCAGGCATTGTTGCCTCCTCTTTGTTTTCCCTTCCCATCCTCACCCTCCCCCCACCCCATGAGAGCTTTTAATCTACATTTAACCACCACAAAGCCGGTAGTGGAGCAGTGGCTCCCGTGGTAAAGCACTAGCCTTGAACAATAAATTAGCTAAGGAATAGAGAGTAAGGGCCTAGGAGGCCGAGGGTCCCCAGATGCACAGTGGTGTGGGAGAATTTGGGAAATCAGTCAATCTACACGCCCCAATTTCACCGAGAAAGCCTTCCCTGTCGGAGGACAGGAAAGGGACCCCCGCCCCCAATCGGAGCAGTTCTGCCACAGAGTAGGGGAAGACGGACTGTCAGCGCAGACACCCGGACGGTGTGTTTACACGCGCGCGGCCCGCGCGGGCGGGGGAATCCCTAAGCCTAGCCCCTACCGTGCGTTCAGGGGCGGGGCAGCAAGCTCCCAAGTCCTAGGGCCCACGCGTCCCCCACCCCCGGCCTCGGGACCCGCCCCTCACCATTACTGCGTTGGATCTTGATGGCGAGACCAGGGAACAGGCGGGCCTGAAGCGTAGAGTCCATGGACATCCGGAAGCCTGCCAGGATAAAAAACTCTTACCAGGGCGAAAAAACACACGACTCTGACAACCAAGCCGTCTCAGCGCCGCGCAAACCGCCGCAGTTTAAATCCCGCGCGCCAGCGTCCCTGGCAACGTCATCACGCTAGCGTGGGCCTCACTTCCGTCAGTCAGCAGCGCCCCGCGGAGCCTTGTGGGTGGGGTAGTCTCTGGCCCAGCTCCTGGAACCGCCCACCTATTTGGCCACACGCCTGAGCACCCAATCAGCTTGTACCGGTTCTTGTTTTTTGTTTTTTTGTCGTTCTTGGGGCTTGAACTCACGGCCCGGTCACTGTCCCTGAGCTCTTTCGATTCAGGATAGCTGTCTACCACTTTGAGCCACAGTGCCACTTCCAATTTTCTTATGGTTAATTGTATCTTTCCTGGCTTTGAACCGCGATCCTCAGATCTTAGCCTCCTGAGTAGCTAGGATTACAGGTGCGTGGCCTGTTCTTGTTCCATTTTTCTTTTTGTTGGTCATGGGGCTTGAACTCTGGGCCTGAGTGCTGTCCTTGCGCTCTTTAGCTCAAGGCGAGCGCTCTACCACTTGAGCCACAGGGCCAGTTTTCCAGTGGTTTGTTGGAGATAAGAGTCTCACTGAGTTTCCTGCTCAGGCTGGCTTTGAACCGCGATGCTCAGATCTCAGCCTCCTGAGTAGCTAGGATTACAGGTGTGAGCCCCGGCGCCCGGCTGTTCTTGTTCTTTATACCCAGTCCAGCTTCAGTGACTAGATTCCTGAAACTTGAACGTGTGTGTGTGTATGTGTGTGTATACTGGTCCTGAGGTTTGAATTCAGGACCTGGGCTCTGTGGCTTAGCTTTTTTGCTCAAGGCTGGCACTCTACCACTTATGCCACAACTCCATTTCTGTCTTTTTGCTGGTTGGTTGTATATAAACTTCTCATGGACTTCGCTGCCCAGACTGCCTCCAAATCGTGATCCTCAGTTCTCAGCCTGAAAAAGTAGCTAGGATCACAGCCATGAGCCACCAGCATCTAGCTTGGAAATCTAGTCACTTAGCCAAATGAGTTTTTACTTGAACTGGGTCTTGCTGTGCTGCCCAGGCTGGTCTCTAACTTCTGAGCTGAAGAGATCCTCTGACTTCTGCCTTCTAGAACCACAGGCATGGGCCACTGCACCCAGCTCAATGACATTCCTTAAACTAGTAATGCACAGTGGAACACAACTGTGATTCCAGCCCACAAGAAGCAGAGGCAGGAAGATTATGAATTTGAATCCAGCCTCAGCTATAAGGTGAGTTGAAGAACAGTCTAGGTTACCTAGAAAGACCCTGTCTTGGAAAAAGAAAAATCCTTCAACTAAATTTGTTGTAATTGCCGGGCGCTGGTGGCTCACGCCTGTAATCCTAGCTACTCAGGAGGCTGAGATCTGAGGATCATGGTTCAAAGCCAGCCAGGGCAGGAGAGACCGTGAGACTCCTATCTCAAATAAACTACCAGAAAACTGGAAGTGGTGCTGTAGCTCAAATGGTAGAGTGCTCACCTTGAGCTGAAGAGCTGAGGACAGCGCCCAGGCCCAGAGTTCAAGCCCCAGGACCGACAAAAAAAAAAAAAGTAAATTTGTTGTAATTTTTGTATTTATTTATTTAGAGACAGTCTCCATATGGACATGTAGTCCATACAAAAAATTATGCTGGGGCTGAGAATATGGTTTAGTGGTAGAGTACTTGCCTAGCATGTAT